CATTTCTACAATATTGTATTAGCTAAAAGTTTTGCTGAACATAATCAGATAGTTACGTGTTATTTGTTTTGATATAATTGGTTTGGTTTTCACAATATTATGGCTCAAAGACAAATTGGACCATTGTGCCCTTTCCTACCATATATTGAAATGAAAAAATAATAACTGTTAGTAAAAATGACTTAAAAAACTAAAACAATGTATAAATAGAATTACAGTATAAATGAACAAGCAGGCTTTTGAGTTTAATTATCATCGTGTAATGCCAAATTGTAATTAATATTGTTAATTGAATTGTTGTGGCGTTTGTAAAATTGCCATATTAACTTAATGTATTATTGAACTAATTGTAATTAGTGCTCCACCTGAAGAAAGATTTATAATCTGAAAGTACTATATTTTTTAATCTATTGCTCCTTGCTTAATTTTATTCAAGCACTTAAATACCTATATTGATTATTCATCGCAAATACTTTTTTTCGAACTAATAAGCGACTTTGAGTTCAAAGGATATTGATTCGTATTGATGGGAAGACAGGTTCACCTACTTCGGCAAAAGCAAACTCTTTTCGTAAATTTAAAATAAACTTACTTTTATTTTTTATTTAATTTTCTGTATCTAATATTTATTTACAAAATAGTTTATTTCAGCAATTCGCCTGAAGGCATAATTTCATACACTATTAGTTTGAATTGTATGTTGTTTTCAACCATATTTGTTAACTATTATAGAGCACATGTTGCAAGAGTATTAATGTTTTGCTTCTATCCCTAACCAGCATCAGAATTAACTACAGTTAAACTAATAGTTGTAAAGTACACAGTGAACTTCTATGACCAAGTTTCTGTTTAGTATGCACATTCAACATATATACGTTAAATGATTTTTTTATAGATTACAAATTATTCAGTTTTATTATCTGTCGTATATTACAAACTAAAAACTTTCTAGTATTTAGAATTCTTCCCTAAACTTTCTTAACTAGTTGGGTACCTGGAACCGGAATTGTTGCATCGATACATGTCGAATTAACTTTCCAAAAGTTAGGAATAAGTGAATCCTCGCCGGAAAAGTTTAAAAAGGATGTTGTTAAATCATTTTAATTATGTACTTTGTAGTTTCTCTATTTCATTTCGAAAAAAGTCGCGTTTCATCTTTAGCCAAGATGTATAAACTTCTTCATGCATAAAACTTGGTCAACAAAAATTGAATGCTAAAAGATACAATTAAAGTTCATTTCAAGTTGAACTTTTCAGTAACGATTCAATGAAGCATTCGTGAAGTGCATAGAAAAAATAAAAGTTGCTGCTCGATTTCTGCAGAAAAAAGTACCGAAGAGTTTTATATAGTATATTTTTCGTTAAATATCATGATTGGTTGTTCGATATTTTCTTTCAATTGTTCTATCTAAAATTTTGCAAAATTTAATTCAACCTTATGAAATTATTCACAGAATTCATATTTATAATTTCAATTAGCCTTTGCCGTGCCTTTGAAAATTAATTGAATAGATTTGTTGATTAATTAGACCGATATCACTCAAAAACTTCAAAGGCCAAACTTGATTTGAGCCCGAGCTGACTGGCCCCGGCAACTGTAGTCTGACGGTAACCGCATTTAATATTTACAATTATGACCAATAGCATACAAAAAAAGTTTGCTATAGAGTTTAACTAAATATGAATAAACCAAATATGCAATATAAATGCAAATTTTCGATCTTTAGCCGCTCAGATTCCACACTAAATCAATTCTACCGTATTTACACAAAAAGCGCGATGTTGCCACTCTGAACAAACAACCAATTACTGATACGCGAGACTGCAATTTGAAAAAATCCACTCACACGAAATAATGATTCTGTTCACAGACAAACTAATTGCATGTCACAAAAATAATGTTTGTTTTGATATTTATTTAACTGTTTTACGATCGTTTATAACGTTTATGCGATAAATTATCGAGGAGATACACACACACAATTTACCTGGATAATCATTTATAGTTAATTACTATGTTTCATGTTGCTCTCTGAAAAACTGAATTAATTGCCGGTATGATTAGATAAAAAATAAGATAGTAAAAATTTTAATTGCCTTAAAATTAAATCTGCGACATGTCTATTGGAAAAATATTTATGACTTTCATGTCGACCATGTTAAAATAAATATATGAAATCTGTTTGATCATGCAGCAATACATCTACTGTGACAAACATTTAATTTCTTAATATTATCAATATTTAAAAATTGCAAAATGTTCAAAAACCCAGTGATAAAATATTCAGATTTTTTTCATAATTCATCTGTCCTCTATCCTTCCATAAATATATATTATCATTTTCCACCGTGCCAGGTATTTTATAGCAGTTACATTTGAATAATAACTTTTGGCGAAAAGAAGGTACGATACACGTGTAATGTAAGCCAGGGGAAGATTTCGAGAATTTGTCGTATGAATTAACTTTCCAACATCATACGAGAAGAACGGATTCCGAATAATTCCGTCTGAGAGAGGCTGCTCGCCCAGAGGCTTAATTATGGCACAAAGAGGGAAAATTTATTTTATACCTTTATATGCGCATATTAATATTTATATGTTGCTGTCAAGTTGAAAAGGAAGGTGGAATATTTTGAAAATAAAGCATAATAATGTAAACAGGTTGTTATTTTCGTAACAATTGTTAGTCGTGTGATTCACGTTTGACGTTTTTGTATATTGTAGGTGTTCGTGGAATTTTATGAAGCTTTTAGAAAAATTGTTTTATTTTATTGTTCATTTTGAACAATTACTTTTTGTCATGTTTCAAGCAGAATCATCATCTCACTTTCATGAAACTTCTGGTTTTTATTAGATAAAAACTGAATTAGGTACAATTTCAGACCATTATAATTATTAAATTGTTTACCCTGAAGTAAGTGGTAAGTGGTTAAATCACCGTTCACCGAATCGAATCACCGTTTCGATTTGCCAAGTTAGGCAACTTTTATTCAACTGCATTGCTTAATTTTGTTAGTATTTGAAGACATCAGAATTCCCCATTCGATTGGTAATAAAAGTTCAAAGTAGACAATTTCTTTTTAATCAGCTTCAACTGGACGACCAAAGCGTTTTTCATCTTCGAGTCAAAAATCACCAGATTTTTTTTTGACTAAACCAATTTTGACACTCCCATTTTTTTAAGAATTCGTCATCAGAAAAAACAAAAAAATTTTTGAGTACTACTGATTCGTATCGTCGAATAAAATCTATCTTTGCTGCCATATCTGGGTGACGACGCCACTAGGCACGAGTGGAAGCTATTCATTTCGTCGCCCTGAACTTTCATCTAGAAGAAATATTTCTTATTCTATAGAATTCGTATAATGTGGGAGACAGACATTGTATTGTACCCTTTATGCTATCATAGTATCACTTCAATGACTTACGCAATGTCCTGAATTCATGATTCATTTTATATCTGCCGAGAGAATTCTGCCATGGGGTATAAATTCATTAGTTTGCTGGATCGAAACTTCAGAAGTAATGGAATCATTACTGTGAAAATAGGGAACAAACGAAAATTTTCATAACCAATTATGTCTAATACAAGCTCGAATGACCTAATTTCACTATTTTTAGTTACATGATTTTTCTATGATTTGAGAAGTTTAGTAGGTCGAACTTTTTTTATTTCATACAATTATGAGTTACGGGCGTGGAAATTGAATATGTGCTAGAAAAGAGATATTATGTATTTATAGTATGAGGCGAAAAAGTCAGTATTTATGGTCTTGATATTGTAACGGAGAATAATGTGCAATTTTGTTTTTGTCGTTCCCGTTCTGGTGCTTTTAATATCAACAGAAAAAATATATAGCACTATTTGTGGATAAAAATCATCTATATACATATATGGATACATGAATTTTGCTCTGTGTGCTTGGGAATGCATATAGATAATCAGAAGTTATGTTTTTGTTATGGACAAGTTCATTATTCTGAACCTAATTGGTGCATTTACTGTTTTATATATTACATATATGGGTATATATAATAAAAAGACATCCATCCAATTATTAACAAAAACCAAGTTAAGTAGGCTATCATTGCTGGTTTTTAGTCATATTTTGACTTTTATCTTTGAGCAATAATTATATTGTGAAAACCAAACCAAGTATATTACAACAAATACCATATATCAAATAAACAACTATCTGACTATGTTCAGTAAAACTCTCAGCTAATTCATAATTGTAGGCAGGGCCGGTACTTCCTTGAATGCAATGCATGCAAAAAATGTTGGCGCACGTCTTAGGGGGCGCCAAAACGTGGTTCGGAAATGGAATTTATAATATATTATTTTTTATTTTTTTAAATATTAAATCCTGAATACTTAATAGATTATAATAAACAGTCCAACTTAACTATGAGTCATAAAAGGCATATTCAGTTTGCAATGCGATATAAATAGAAACAATTAACCAAATAATAACTTTGCAAATTTGTAAATTATTGTTCTGCTTATTGTTTAATGTACTCTTAAATTTTTTTCTTCGTTTGAAGTTAACATGGAATCGAAAAAGAAAATATTTAGTGTTCAATCCTGTAAGAGCAAACCTACGAAAGTTTAAATTAATTATTGAGCGTTATTGATGAAAAATAGCAAGCTGATTTAGTTAAAATGGAACTTGTTAAAGAAATATATACTAATTATAATAGAGAAAATGGAAAATGGGGAGTCAGTGCTCAAAAAACGGCTTGTTTATTCCGAAAAATTGTATTGTAACTTTTGTTTTTGTTGCAAACTGCATAATATGAAAAATGAAAGCAAAATGAAAAGCGCTAGAACAAATCTTTCATGCGGGCGCTGAGGACCCCAGGACCGGCCCTGATTGTAGGAATGTGTTTTTTCGCTGTTTGTCACTTGGTCCTTTTTACTCAAAAAGCTGGCAAATAAGTCCAATGTCTTATTTTGGTAAATAATCGTTTTTCTGATCCAATTATGGTTTAATTACAGTTGCAAACCTTGCCCGGTGGTGACGCCTACATTCCTTTGCGGGGCCGACAATAGGACCTATAGTTCTCTTTGCCGTTTGGACTATCACAATTGCATACATCAGACGGCAATCAAAGTGGCATGCAAAGGATTTTGTCCTTGCAAAGGTAAGACCGAATGTTCAATTCGAATTATTCATGACCGTTACAATGCTAATATGTATCGGGGTGTTTAAGTTTAATTCTTTATTTATATATGATGGTAAAAACTTGCAAAGATAGAATTTTGTTACATATAATTTACTTAATATTTCATATCAATTCACATCTATATATGCATATTTTTTTCAGAACTAAAATTTTTGTAATATAATTTACTTGATATTTAAAAAAAAAATGATGACTATGCGATTTTTAATATGATAATTACATTATCACGTTTCTTCGTAAAATTACAGTAAAACATTGATGGTTTTCTATGTCAAAATTTAGCTTTTCTTAACGACTTAACAAGCCTCCTTAGAAAAACATTAGAGAAGCTGATTCTAAATCAGCAAAATCGTAAAATAGACCAATGTTATGGCAAGGCCATAATACTTAGCACTTTTCATACAAAATGGTACTAAATACTGCCAAAATGTTATGTAATTACTGTGCGATCATCGTTTTATACATAAAATGTAACTTCACTCACATATTGTTGTATATGTAAATATGCCACATCACAAAGATGCAGCTATGAAAACATTTTTTTGACATTTATTATTATTTCATATGAGTACCATTTGTGTTTAGTACCATTTTATATGAGGTAAAATACACGTAACATAGCCTTGCCATAACATTGATCTATTTTACGGTAGAATCGTCTTTAGAATCTATTACATTCTATCAACAAAGAAAAAATAAGACATTCCTAATATCTGTAGGATTTACTTGAGAACATATTTGGTAACCTAAATTCTCTTATAAAGTTTTGGAAAATTAGGTCAAAGGTAGGAGCATTTGATTGCGATTTCAACTCTATATAAATATCAATCTATCTTATTCCACATGCACCTAATTCTTAGTTACTTTCAATTAAATTAATAGTGTCATACTCTAACTTATGAACAAGTAAATATTATTAAATTAATTAAAATTAAACATATGTAGAAAATATTGATGTGATATTCTCAATCTATGTTTTATAGAACTGAATATTCCCTCTCAAATATTTCTGAACATTTTGGCATACCTTAGAAAAAATGGATGTGTGCGTGTATGTGTGTATGAATTTTTCGTCCACGTTTTCGGGCGTACGGGTCAACCGATTTCAGGAATTTCCGAATGGTTCAGAAAGCATTCAATTCCTATTGATAGGGAGATGTGTTGATTAGTTTTTGGCAAAAGTTGGTGCAATCGTTTGAAGCTTCAGAGCAAAAAGAGTACAGAAAATGGAAATCGAGTTTTTAAGAAAACTGAGCATCCGATTAAAATAATCCATAAACATTTAATTGGTAATGTTGGAAATAAGTGGCAAAAACAGGTCCAGCCGTTTCGGAGATACGGAGCAAAATGTGCAAAAAATTGCAGTTTTTGAGAGAAATAAGCTGTTGTGACCCAATGGTTTAACTATAACTAATATATTACTAACTATAATATAAGCTACGCATATATTCAATTCTCAGTTTCTCAACATTGTATTCATCCCAAGAACTTGTTACATTGTATTAAGTCATATCGAGTAACAAAAGTATTATAATCAGAAATGGGATCCATGAACTTTTTCTTAATGCGTACGTGATTCTCTGCATACGACACATTAATTCCTATGAATTTCGATCGGTGAATCACATAATTTGCACTCACACATATAAATGAATTTAGTTTATCATATCCTAAAAGGAGTAAAGCCCCTCTTCTAAATAAAAGGTTATATAAAGCCAAAATGGAATTTTAAGTTGCTCAGTTGTGTAATTTTCGTATAGACGACAGCATCTCAGAGTATTAATGAACGGGAAAAATAAAAAGTATTCATGAAAAATATTGTGTTTAATTTGAAATTATTATGATATTACTATAACATCTAACGAAATTGGTTGATGAAGAAAAGAGCTATTCGGCGCCCAACAAAGCATTCGATTTGAATGATTCAAAAAAACTTTCTGCTTGTGTAGACGCAACGATTGTTTTTGGAAAAAATATTTCAATTTTTTTTTTGTTTTGAATATCGAAAATAATTCATATTTCCAATGTTTTAATTCGATACGGGAAGTTTCAGCAATTAATTTCAAAGCATGATGCCTTACACCACATAGTCCATCAAATATCGAATGTATTTTATATATATTATCAGAGCAATGATGACAATAAAAATATTCGAAATGGACCGACAAATATCGTAAAAGTGTACTTTACTGCTTTCATATATTTTGCCATTTGAAGATTCTGTGTTTGCTAGTGTCCAATATATTTTGTATTTGCATAAGGTACACGTTCCACTGGAGCAGTTTTATGAATATTATAGCATTGCATTTTGCCCTTACCCGTATACTTCATGCACCGCACTCATTTTTGCCACATGCTCACAAAGACATGAGGAGTAATGTTCTGTCAAGAGTAAATATACTATAAATAGTTGAAACGTGTACCTATATTATCGTTTAGAATAAAGGTACTGAAGTTGTTTAATATTTGATGTACTAAACTTATTGCATCTCAAAAAATGGGTTTGGACAGGGCACAAAGGTCCAGTTTGGCTTTAAGTAATTATACTTACTAAGTCAAATAAATTACATCAAAACACATAACACAAATCAAACAGTCAACAGTCGAACTATGTTCAAAAAAATTTCCAGTTATTTCCTAATTATAAAAATGTGTTTTTTACTATTTTTCTAAAACTTGTAATCCGTTCCTTTTTACCCAAAAGTTTGGGTAAAAATGGGACAGCCAGGCGGCAAACAGATCCAATGACTTATTTTAAATTTAAAAAGAAATTCACGAAATAATAGCTATGTTATTTAGTCAATTCAAATATAGATTTATATTACTTAATCGTATATAGTGCTTGAAACAAGAAGAAATAAACTACGCCGATTCCATATTCATACGTCTGTTTGTGCGTCTCTTCTCATAGCCCCTGTGGCCTAATGGATAAGGCATCGGCCTCCTAAGCCGGGGACTGTGGGTTCGAGTCCCACCAGGGGTACGAAAATATTTTTTTTATTCTAAATTGAAGTAATTTTAACTATTTTGCCTTTAAATTATTTAATTTGTTGTTAAAATTATAATAAAATATTAATTCAGTTGCTAGAAAACAAAAATTAAATTTCATTCGTTTCATCCGTTTGGATTTTTATTACAACTTCTCTAATATACTGTCGATTCTCTTCTTGATGTGTTAATTGTTTTACAAATTTAAATAATTTATAATATTATTTATTATAATTTAATGATTAGAGACTAATAGCTTTTTGAAATATCATCATAGCAAAGTCAAATTGCTCGTATAACTTTGTTTAGATGACTTACAATATTAAAAAAGAAACCATATTACTATTTTTAATATTTATTTATAGCTATGTTTATAATTTAAGCATCAGTTATATTCTTTTTAAAAAATCTAAATCCGTAAAAAACGTATTTTTTTACCTCTCTCCTCGTTAACTTTAGAATTATTTAAATATTATTTTATGTTTTCTCGTCGTTTAAAATCATTCTGAATCCTTTGACACTTTAGAATTATTTAAATTTTATTTTGTTTTCTCGTCGTTTAAAGTCATTCTGAATCGTTTGACACTAATTGGGAAAACTACGTGTGTAAATTTGAGATGGTGTAATTCAGCTTTCGAAAATATTTTTTTGAAAACGGCTTGAAAATGAATTTCAATAACTTGGAAATGGATTTCAATAACTTATAATCCATTTGACAAAATTTGATGAGGACTTAGCTTTACGAGAAAGATCGGCTGGGCCGTTTCTGCCTAATTGAGTGTTAAACCTTTCTTTGATGATTTTGATAAGTTCTACCTATTGATTTTCTAAAATATTGCATGCCTACGAAAAGTGGCTGAATATTTAAAATTCATTTAAGTTTTGATATCAATTAGAAATCACCTTAATAAAAAGCAACATAATTAATTTCAAAAATAAAACCGTTGAAAATTTTATCATCACATTTTAAAAAATTTTTGATCTCAACCTAAATCTCTTATTGATTGAGATGTTTATGAAACTAATCTTGAGGCAAAATGCCACGAACTAGTTTAGACTATTTATTCATTTGATACGTACATACAAATAATATTTCTATTATGCATTAAATAAAATAGATAATAATTCTTATTTTAGGCATTCTCACTCAAAAAATTGGGAACGGTTCTTCTGAATATAGTGCATAAAATGCATTTGCTTTATGTACAAGTTATGTACGTACACATGCTTTCGAATATTCTAATATCATAATCCTGTTATATTAAAATCTATGTAGTTAAATTTAATCTCAAACCAAGAACGCAAATCTTATTAAATTAAATTTCATTAAAACTTTGCTTTAGCATCTACTTCTAATATATCTTGTAAGAGACATTTAAACTTAGGCATTACGTCATTAATTTTAAAATTAACATAAAACAAATTATGTCATGTTTTGCTGAAAATACAGATTTTTTTTTCATATAATTAGGATTTCCTATTTATTGCCAGTGAAATTATTAATTAAAGTTAATGTAATTAACAGAAGTATGCAATAAAATAAAACTATAAGTGCAATTACTAAATACAATATTTAAAGAACCCAACACTTGTTTTGAATTGATTTCATTATGATGCTCTGATAATCAAAATTAAATCATAAAATTATAAATTCTATATGTAATTATGGCTAAAATGAAATATTCTTATGAATACAAAATGTGTGAAAACATGCTTAAGACGTAACTCATTTTTAGCTATTAGCATTATTTTTTCTATCAAATTATTAGGCTTATTTTTGGATAAGATTTTACTTTTAACTCACAATTATTGTAAAATGAATTAATTTGCTTCAATTTCAAGAAATCAAATAACTATCTTATGTTAAACTTATCTAAAATTGCATAACGGTATAACCTAAATGTGGCCAGTGGAATTGCTCTCTTATATTTCGTGCCACCCGAAGAAAATAATTTCATCTTACTTAGTTATTAAGTGGTGAGGCAAGATGAAAATCTTATCAGATAATATTGTACCATTTCATTGTATCAATTACCTTTCCAAATTGTATCAAATCTTTTCAATGATAAATCAATATATCATGTTTTGTAACATTGTATTTTCTCAGACACAACGGATGCTCATCTGCGCAAAAAGCAACGCCAAGCGGAACGCATCAACAATTTTATGACGAAGTACAAGAACACCATCGATAAAGATGCCCGTTCGAAGAAAACTGCTCAATATACGTTCACACCTGAGGATTTCAAATTTGAAAACAAACACTACAAATATATCAAATACACCAAATATAACAAGGTAAGGATAATTTAAAAAAATCATATTTTTTAAATTATAGAGTACATCGAGTGTATCAACCAACGCTTCTAGATTTACCACTCTGAGTTAATTTATTGAGAATTTTATTCTGTTGTTGTAACATTTAGTTCTTCAGATTTTTCTTCATTTTCTAATTTTTTTATTGATCACTTATTTGTTTGGAAAAACTTGTGTAACACATACTTGGGGGTCTTGCTAGTTCGTACAGGAGAGTCAATTCTATGGTAAACACACTCATAGCTAATAAATAAAGAGTTAACATATTTTCAATACCTTCGATCACAGCAACAAACTTAAGTCATTTAACTTATAAATAAACTTCTACTCTACTTTTCTCAACGGCTAATTTTTAGCCAACATACATTATATAGCTGGTATTTGTTACGATAGGACAACCCACTGGTCAACGACCATTCCTTTTATGCATACACTATACACGTATATTAGATATATCCATGATATACCTAAGATTCTAAATTTAATTCTAATTGTACTTGCATTACTTATAAACTAGTGCGTTAATTTTTTTATCATTATTTTTAAGTCTTTATTCATATGTGTCAGAGTTTGGTGATCAAAATCTCCTTCCTCTTTTTGTATTTCATCAATTAGAAATATATTTTTTTTGCAAATATCAAAATAGTGTCTAACACTTAATATTGTTTCACTACCACTGCCCAATGGCCATTATTTCTTTGTTTGCCTTATTTATATCGTAAGATATCGTCTATCTATGATTTCGATGATTTTCCAAGTTATTTTTGTATTTCCGGACTCGTTCCTGTTTTGTTCCATATACAGTTCTGATTTTTATATCATTGTATACAAGTTTTTTTGTAGCATTTCAAGACGAGTTGAAAATTGCTGTAATGGTTTTTGCGCATGGCTTTAGATATATTATTTCTCAGGTTGATTTTAAGCACTCCAATACAGTTTGGTATAGAAGTAATTTTAAATTCATATGCCATTTTTTTTAAATTTCAATAATTTTTTTTAATGTATACTTATACACTATAGTGTGATAGGAAAAAATATGTTTTGAAATCGTTTTAGAAATCATCTCAAATCATGGATATGTTGAATAATATTTTCAATCTAAAAATATAGATTTTACAAAACAAAACGTCAATCTGACTAAAAGTATCTATTTTCAAATAAAATGCGTTGGTATTTATTTGTCTGGAAGTATAAAATACAGTTGCATCTGCTTTCTATGACAAAATGTATTATTCGATAATTCACTTTTAATATATTTATAAGCTAATATTTTAGAAACTTATTTTTATTATCTATCATATTTTATATTATCTTATCATAGTTTTGACTAGGAGTAGGTGTATTTGAATCTTGTTCATATTATATAGTTAAATTTGGCACTTAATACAAGGATTTCTTAAAAATAGTCATTTTCATAGAGGTAAAGCAATCCACATCAAACAAACCAGAAATGATAGAGATAAATTTTCGAAAAACTTTTGTAAAAGCGTACTGTTCCGATATTTGAAAAAATGCATATATTTCAAATCCATTTTTTTTATTTTTTGTATTAATTCTCAATTAACATATTTTTAAAACCAGATATTTCCAAATTAAACTTCTTTCCTATTAGTAGTCCATGGTTCGAACCAGTGGCGTACCTAGGGGGGGGCGGTGGGGGCGGTCCGCCCCGGGCGGCACTTATTTTGGGGCGGCATTTTTTAGTTTATTTATACATAGTTGTAAAAAGCAACTTATTCATTTCATATTTATCAACTTCCATAGGGTAAGTTATAGTAATGGACCGAAAATCGAAAATAAAATTTTTTACATTTCTTCACGTTTTGAAGTTTTCTGAACATTTTGGCATACCTCAGAAAAAATGGAAGTGTGTGTGTTTTGTGTGTCCGCATTTTTTAGTTCACGTTTACGGGCGCTCCGATCAACCGATTTGATGGTACAGAAAATAGAAATCCAGTTTTTAGAGAATGAAACATCCGATTTGATTGATGCAAAAAACTTCAATTTGTAATGATGAGGAGAAGTGGTGATTAGTTTTTGGCGAAGGCAGATCCAATCGTTTTGGAGATATCAAGCAAAATGTGCAAAAAATATCTGTTTTTGAGAGAACTAAGCATCCGATTTGAATGATTCAAAAAGCTTTCTAGATGGATTTTAATTTGAATTCTACCTAAAGTTCAAATGCTCACTTATATACTTGAAATAAATAATTTTAACTTTGTAATTCAGTTTATATATTTCTTATAAATATTAGACAATGCCCTTTATTTCAAATTTGCTTGATTGAGTTTTGTTTATTTACTTTTCTGTAAACATATATAAGTTACAGTATTTATAATTATATATTTGAAAACATTTAATTTTCCTCGAATATATCATTACAGTACGGGAAGTTCCAGCAATTTGCCTTAACTTACAATGCCATACACCACTAGTTAACTTCCACAAGGAGAAGTTTATGTTTTCATCAAAAAATCCGAATCGCTAATTTTATGTTTTCTCGACGTTTCAAGCCATTCTGAATCGAATGAGCCCAAATTTGGAAAAAGTAAGTGTGTGTATATGAACAGATTTTTTGTCGTAAATCGTCGTTTTCTCAAAAACGGCAAAAACGGCTAAAAATTTAAAAGCCACTCGATGTATCTCGATGAGGACTATTATTTGTCAGTTTTGTGCGACGATCGGCCAAGCTGTTTCTTTATAAATCGCAGAAAAGTGAAAAATTTTTCGTCTACGTTTTAGCCTGCAATTCTGAATTGATTTTGAAAATTCAAAAACCGTTCGAAAGATATTAGTTGGGACTCGTGCTGATTAGTTTTTGGTAGAGATCGACCAGGCCGTTTTCTTAATAAAGTTTTTGAAAAAAAAAATTCTACGATTTTTATGATTAATTTTTTGACTATAGATACCATAGTCTTCTAGAATCTAGAAGACTATGGTATCTTCCGTAATATTTTAGTATGATCTAGAATCTAGATCATACTAAAATATTACGGTCCTACGACAACTGGTTTAGCTTTAAAAATTCGTCAAAGTTTGTAAAAATTAGTATGTTTTTTTTTATTAGCATTTTTCAAAATTAGACCTTTGATCGACGTTTTTTTAAAAACGCCTGAACCGATTTCAGAAATTTAAAAGCCATTTGATATATCTCGATAAGGCATATCGTTTCTCAGTTTTGTGCGACGATCGGCCGAGCCGTTTCTTTGTAATTTGGAAAGAAGTGTTAAGCCTTTCGTCCACATTTAAGCTCATACTACCGAACCGATTTAAAAAAATTAAAAACTGTTTGAAAGATATAAAATTTATCAAGGTTAGAGAAAATGTTTTTTTGATGTTTGTTAAAAATAAAATTAGATGATTTAGTTGGTATAACGATAGTGTACTTGGTCTTGAACATAGTAAACCATTAAAGTCCTGCGGAAACTGGTTCAATTATAATTATTGATTAATTAAAATTATTGATTTTTGAAAATTTGCTCGTAGAAAATACTCCGAGTTAACGTGTTCGTTCGTTCGTTTGCAATGATATGTAATAAATCCACTCGGAATACTTTTAATCACTCATAAATTAATTTATTTTTTATTGATTAAGTCGATTATTTACACATTTCGGGAAGTCCATGTAACTTGCCTCAAGGCAAAATACCAGTACCAACTAGTTTTCTTTCTTGAATTATAAATGATCATTATGATTGTTATTATTGACAATATTTGATTTATATAAATTATGATTAACCATATGATTTAGAATTTTATTCCTCGGTGTATATAAATGTATATTAGTGTAAATTTTGAATTCTAATTTAAGAACAGGTTAATAATTTTATTTTATTGTATTCATTAAAATTCGTTGAATTCGTATAAGCATCTTTACGATTTTGTTAGCGATTTTTTCTATTTTTTTATATCAGCTCATAAATGTCATTTCTTTTAAAAAGTTTATATGATTACTTTGAAGTGATTTATCAATATTTTTTTAAATCATCAATTTTTCTTTTGAAAATCAGGGCTGGTGGAAGGCGGGGTCTGCTAGGTCTGCAAAACCTTAGGGCATTATATAAATATGTTGACGAGTGCATATAAATATGTCTGAAAACTAGTGGGGTGGGTGGCATCGTGCCTTAAGGCAAATTGCTGGAACTTCCCGTACCGTAACGTAATGTTCGAGGAATATTGAATGTTTTCAAATAGATTATTATAAATATTGTAACATTGTCTAATATTTATAAGAATTATATAAACTGAATTGCAGAGTTGAAATTATTTGTTTAAAGTATATTAGAACTATAGTCAGAATTAAAAATAAAATCTGAATTATTTTCGATATACAAAAAATTAAAAAAAAAAAAAAAAAAATTGTACAAAATTTTTTTTTTCCAAAATCAATTATTTTGTTAAGACAAGCAGAAAGTTCTTTGAATCAATTGAATCGGACGCTTAGTTCTCTCAAAAACTGCCATTTTTTGTACATTTAGCTCTGTATCTCCGTAATGGCTGGGCCTGCCTTTGCGAAAAACTAATAACCCCTTCTCCCAATCATTACTAATTGAATGTTTTTTAGATCATTGAAATCGGATGCTCCGTTCTCTCAAAAACTCGATTTCTATTTTCTGCACTCTTTGCTCCTTATCTCCGTAACTGCTGAAACTGTCTTTGCCAAAAACTAATCAGCTCTTCTCCTTATTAATAGGAATCGAATGTTTTTTAAACCATTCAAATCGGTTGATCCGTACGCCCGAAAACGTGGGCGAAAATTTGTATCCATACATACATACACACTCACACACACACACACACACACACACACACACACATCCATTTTTTCTGAGGTATGCCAAAACGTTCAGAAACCTTCAAAACGTCGAGAAATGTAAAAATTTTCAATTCCGATTTTCGGCCCATTACAATAACTTACCCTACGGGAAGTTAAAAATTACTCTGTGTATTAATTAATATTGATTAAATAACTTAATAATTTTTTAACTTTCGTAGGGTAAGTTATATATAGTAATCGCAAAAATGTCGAAAGTGAAAATGTTTATATAAATTAACGTTTCAGAGATTTCTGAATTTTGGCATATCTTACAAAAAATGGATGTGTGTTACAAAAACGTGCTAATTAGTTTTTGGCAAAACGGGTCCAGCCGTTTCAAAGATACGGGGCAAGAAAGCCAAAAATTGTAATTTAGTTCTTGAGAGAACGAAGCGTCCGTTTTAAGTAATTCAAAAAACATTTTATTTGTATTGACTAAACAAAGAACTGTTTTTGGGATGACAGGTCTAGAAGAGGTCTAGCGATTACGGAGAATCAATAAGAAAAAGTAAAAAAATGACATATTTGGCGGTCCAAAATGATCATTAGACATATCCACGTCAAATTATCTGATATTTTCTAGAGATTTTAATAATAAGAACATTAATTTACATTTCTATGGGTTCCGTATCAATGTCTAGCCGTTTCGCTTCGATATTTCGTCTCCAAAACAGCTGCGCAGCGCGATTGATTTGAGAAAAAGTTACAAATTTTCAAAATTTTCAAAATTTTCAAAATATTGATAAATCACTTCAAAGTAATCATATAAACTTTTACAAATTTTCAAAAAAATTCAAAACATAAAAAAAAAATTTCAAAAAAAGCCATTTTTTACAAAATTTTCGAAATTATCAAAAATATATTTTTTTCAGATTTCAAAAAATTTTTAATCTTTTTTAAAAATTTTATGTTTCGGTACGGGAAGTGTCAGCAATTTGCCTTAAGGCACGATGCCATGCACCACTAGTTTATTTGTATTAATTTAAGAAAACTACTATTTGACTGACTTATAATTGAAAGGGCGGCAATCTGGAGACCGCCCCGGGCGGCAAAAGTTCTAGGTACGCCACTGGTTCGAACTTATTCAAATTGAGTAAAATATGTTTTAAAAAAAAACGAGAATATAGTTTATTTTTGGTCAGATTTTACTAGATCCCTTTTATCTTTTTGACTTCACGTAATTAATTTCAATTTCAATTAATTTCAAACATAATGCTCGTTTTATTTATTGAAACTTTAATTCACCCTTCATTATACGCTTCTGGATTAATATTGTTTTCATTACCATTATTATTACTTCACTTAAAGTTTGTTGCAAAATCATTCCAAAAGCTATTTATTAATATAATTAGTTGGCGGCTCATTATTTTATTTCGTATTTTGTCGGAACCTTAATTCTAAGTTTTGCAGAAGTCAGCAACAATAACGCAAGTTATTCCGAAGTTACATCGAAGTCATAACTATTAATTCTCTTTTGAATATTCCATTATCGCGTTGAGAAACTTTAAGCCCATTCAGTCCAATAGAACTTTCCATATATAATACTACGAATTATTATCGATAAGAAGTTTGGGTCGTATATTTGGTAAATGTATCTATTTAATAGCTCATTGTATTGCAACTAATTGTGGTAAGGGGATGGATCTCCACATGCTATGTAAAGGAAAATAATTTTAAAACAATATTTAACTTTTTGGCTTATTGTGTTGTTTCCCTTAATAATTTTTGAAGAATTTTGGTGAATGTTTTACTATATATAAATACTTTAGTTTGATAAATATATATACAACTTCTACTTAAAATGCAAATTTCATTGGTATATCTTATACAAAGATCACACTCCATATAACCATCGTAAGCAACTTCGTCAGGAGCTTTCATCGTCAGAGCTGGAATAACTATTAACTTAATTAAATTTTTGTAAAATTGCCTTTTCAACTTATTTTATTTATTTGTCAGTGTAAAAATTCAGGTGGTTCTTATTACTCCAGCCACATGTAAGCTGTAAGTCGTACAAATGATACAAGTACTATCAAAAAGCTGAAATTATTTTTTTAATTCTTCTTATAATTTATTAATTTCTTTGTTGATAAAATCGTACATAAAATCATTATTAAAATTAGCTTTTTACATTCGCTATGTTTGCTAATCGAATGTGAACTGTAGGTTATATAAATCATAAATAACTGATAAAATCAAAGGTTGAGAATATTAGATTACTAAGTTACGTGTTGTAAAATCCTTTTGCCTATACACTTTATAAAAATATTGTTTCAAGGTTGATTTTTATCACACGCCATTAAGAATACATGCATACGAAAATAAACTTTACTTAAATCATGTGGAAAGCTGAAAAGCTCAACTTTATTATAAGTCAAAGGAAAAGGCGCTGTTGGCAATTTGCATAAGCGAATTTTAAAAACTAGTTTTTATATTCAAATTTTCTTGTTTTTGGCGCATCTGCGCATGCTTTCCAAAATATTATAAGTATCTTCATAGTTTAAATTTATTTTCGAATCTAATTTCTTGTTCTTTCTCACGTTACCTGCTGGCTTTCCAATATCATTGTGCAGAAATAATTAATAGTATTTCTGCATTTATTTAGAAATATGGGAAATTTACCTTTTGTGTTATGTTTCAATTTAAAATGCATTTTTACAGCCAAATGCAAGACCGTTAGTCACTTGAAAATTGCAAGTTGCAATCTTCTTGCTCTCAACTCCTCAAGTACTTGACATCTAATTAAGACATTTATTTCTAGGATAACAACATGATTTTCTCTGAAGACAAGGATAGGCAGCGTGGCTTTAACGATGCCACTCTTGACTTGAAAACTAACAGAAATCAAATTCTCACTAACGGAAATTCAAACACGAATCCCAACGGAAATAATGGAGTTGTCTGTTCCGCCTCTGCTCTTCAGTCGATGGGCAATAGACTCTTGGATTGGTTCTCGGTGGTCATGGCTGATTCTAAGAAACGACGAACCCATAATAAATCAAAAGGTAATTACAATATAATATCGGTAAATACTCTGCATTTTATTTATTTTTCTCACAAATGTCGTTTTCAAAACATTTTGAAAGCCTAATCTCAAGTCTGTAATCAAAGTAACTTTTTTATTGTTTTAACTTACTGCAGGGTAAGGTGGGGTATAGATGAAAGCTATAACAGTCTTTTCACTTAAAAGTATATAAACATAAGTTTTATTAGCAAATTTTTCATTTTAATTGCACTTCAGTCAGATTGGTCGATTTTAACATACCAAGCATCGGGCACATCGTTACAACATCAATATAATAAAAAATAATGGTAGCAACTTTGTAGATATATATATATAAATCTACCTGAGATTTCGGATTTATTGTAGTAATGTTAACAAGTGTAAACAAAATCTAAATATCTGCAATGGTACCGTGACCATATACAATTTGAGATGGATTTTTTTTTTGGTTTATTTTTCATAGCAAACTGTCCACAGTACATTCAGCTATATATTATTACAGATATATATTATTTGACTGCGTGAGATGGATCGCTATCCAGCGATAGCACCTTCTGAAAATGATATTTTGTAGTAAATCATTGGAGATACTTTTTTTGAGACGCGTTGGTGGTAAAGGCTTAAGCAGATCACACGCTAATTCGTTTGGATGACAACTTAGACGAGCTTTGTATCTGGAGCAGTAAAGAAATAATTTCTTCTTCTATAGTTGGAATTCTGAGATCTTGATGTATCAACCAATTGGGACCGTATTTTGGAGCATTTCTTTCTTTATTTTGGAACCTTTTTAAAATAGTTATGTTCGATTTACTGGCCGCACCCCATAGTTGTAGGCCATAGGACCATATTGGTTTAATAATTGTCTTGTATAGACTGAAAATGGAATTATTGTCAATATTTTTTACTTCAAAATTTATACTAATAATAGCATATCTCTACTTTTATAAAAAGATTTGTTCTGGTTTTTCATCTGAGGGATCGTTCAAGTTCAATGAATATAATGAATAAATAATTTTTCAGGTGGCACATATTTCTATTTCTATTATTTCTATTCTTTTTTTCCCAGCTCGATTCCCAAGCGGTTGTAAATCCGAAGCAAGATGGATGTTCGGTCATTTGGATCTGGATGGCGATTCTATATTATCAGTTCAAGAATTATACGACCTGGAGCATGATCGCAGCGAACGTTGCATCAGACCCTTCTTAGAGAGATGCTCTGGTGAAGGGGGCAATGTGAGCCCCTCCGAGTGGTGCAGATGTTTCGAGAGGGCTGATAGACCTTGCGCTGCCGTCAAAAGGCGAGCTGTGGCAGAGATGTTGGGTAAAAATAATAGATAATTTAGTAATAGATAATTGGCTTAATTATGATTATACGAAAATATTTTTTTTAGGTGCATATTCACCCGATTGCGATGAACAAGGCTTTTATAAGAGCACACAATGCCATTCGTCGGTGGGCCTGTGCTGGTGCGTCGACAAACACGGCGTAGAGTTTGCGAACACGCGCACACGGGGAAAACCAGATTGTGGTGAGTTTTTGAAGATTAAATTCGTTGTAGGTGTATTAAAAAAGCATGTTAATTCATAGATCTGTGTTTATTTCCATATTACCATATATTTCTCTTATTACACTCATTAGAACGTAAGACCGATTCCACAGAGGCCGTTTTGAACAAAGCAAGTTCTTCGTCGGCGCCTCTGGTCGACGAGTCCCTCAACGAGGACGACGACGAGGACGATGGTGACGACGCCGAAGGATCAGAGGGCAGCGCAGATCAGCCGCTTGACTTTTAATTCATTCATTGGTTTTAATAATAAATTGAATTTATAAAATTCGTTTACTGAAAAGTTGAGAAATATGTGAATATTTGTGATCATATGTTTTCATTTAAAAATTTTGTTTTCTATATAAATCGCACAACGGCTTCGGGAAAAGATGAAAGTCTTGGTTTAATTGCATACGGATTAATAAAATTTGATCGTAAAACTGTAATAAAGTTCTCAATTTTATAAAACTTATCGATGAGGGAAAATTTGATAGACAGTAAAATATAAAAATAGTGATCGAGGGTATGTTTAAATTTATGCACCGAAAATGCAATAAACAATAACGTTCTTCATTATCAGAAAACCGAAATAATATTATAAATAAATGTAAAATACTCAACGCCTTAAAAGTGTCTATTCTCGATTAATTCACCAGATTTATTTGTGTCTGTATGCAATTTAATCAAGACTGATTTCAATCAACTAATTTACTATGTGTCTCTATTAATGTTAAAAAGCATATTAAACGCACAGCTTTCTTTATATCCCAGCATTTGCATTTTCAACTTATTATGATTTGATCAACGTGATTATTGAATTAAACTGCCAGTAAATCAAAAGATTTTGATGCTCACAATATAAATTTGTTTTTCGTATTCAAATCGTACTTAATTTTAATAACGCTTTTCGAAATATTGTATTACCTAAGCATTTTTTATTTATAATTTTAGCAATTTAAAGCATTACAAGCTGTGTGTCCAAAATGGTATTATGCGTTGTGAGAAATATATTCGCATTTACATACATCCAACTAACAATACTTTCACCAAACAAAATAAAAATAAGCTCAACAATAATATTTTCTATTAACCTAAATAAATAATGACTTCATTAACCTAAACTTTAGATGAAATTCCATATTCCAATCTTGTTAATCATAATTACCGTCAATGTCTATTTACTGACCTTAAGGTTTGTGTGATAATATTTGATACAGATTTCGAATATTATGCCATATGATTCACGATGTATTCATATATATACATATGTAAGTAAATATTTTTAAATTTTGCATATTCTTAGCTACAGATAAGTGCATATATTAATTTTTATATTCATAATAAACATATTACGATGAAAACGGTGTAGTAGGCAATATTCAAATTAAATGCGATAGGTGAAATTATAAATGTAGTGATATTTCAGAACTTCTTTACATATTCTTATACTACTTCAATTAATTAATAGAGTACTAGGGAACGATTAACTCAAAGTATTTTTAATAAATTCTTAAAACTGAAAAAGTTCAAATCTGGCTTCCAGATTCTAATCTAAACTGAACATTATTTTTGTTATTGCCTTTGCAGTCAAAAAAATAATTACTAATGCAGTAATTAATTTTAAACAAACTTCTAATTTACAATTACTGACAAAACACATATACTATTCTATTACAATAATTTGAGTATTTCGTTCACTAGTTTCTAAAATATATTGCCTACAAATATTAATATAAGCGTTATTACATTCCATTTTGTAAGTATATAAGATGTATTATTTTAGTTCCCACATTAATCTTAATGTTTTTTTTATTTTAATAATTTCGTTAAAGTTTTAACTTTAAAGTTAATAATTTAATAATATTATCACTACAATTTTCGTTGTGTTTATGGACTATACAAATTTAGATTTGCTTTTTACTTGCTTCTTAGATTTGCTAAACATATTAATATTTATATGTCTAGTATAAAATGTTATAGAGTTAGTTTATAGATTCATAAGATGAACTATAGGAATAAGTAAATATAAATATAGGTACTTGTATATTATTACTTTATTTGATTGTTTTAATATTAGTGTTATAGTAATGTCCCTAATAATTTAGTAATCAAATGCATAAAAAATTTGTGACTTTTACGACACAGATAATTAGCTCTAATTAATTAATAGCCACGGAATTAACAGTAAAAATGGAAGAAGTGTTTATTTTGATAATTTTTTGTTATCGTATAATAATAATTGAATTTTTCAACACTTATTTTTAACAATCTGCAAATATTTGCTCATATAATTAAAACATAATTAATTATATAAAAAATAGAAATTTTAATTCAATTTAATTCCTGTTCAGCCTGGGGCATAATAAAAATTGAATAAATTCAGGCAGATAAACAAACACTAAATCTGCCCAATACAAAATGATCTAATGAACTTCTTAAAAAATTAAAATTATATCAGAAAAATATGTTAAATTCAAAGTTGCTTGAAATGTACATTAGCAATAAAATTATATGGTAGTTTCGTTGTTGGCATGCCATGTGATTTTGTTTGCCAATTGAATTTAAGGTATAATTATAAAAAACAGCTATGATATAAAAAATTATCAATTTCTGAATACTTTCTCCATAATTGCTGACTTCTGCTAAGATGGTGATGATATTAAACCTGTGGTTCTTGCAGTTCTTAATAATAACTATACGTACCTATAGATGTTTACGCGGTTTGATATTCGTACATTATAAAAAATGTTAATCACAAGTTTTTTTTATAGAATATTTAATATAAAGTAAAATATAAATAAATATTATAGACTTTTAATTATATAAAATGAGATTAAATAATATTAAATTATATAAGAATTCTTTATCGTTTTTAACAACTGAACAAACGCATTGCTAGTATGTATTTGTATATATTGAATGACTGTATTGCAAAAGTATTATTTAACTTTTATTATCACAATTGAGTTTTAAAAAATCTTGAATTGAAACAAAGATGTGTTTTCAAATATTTAACAGTTGTTGCTCAATGCTTTCATGTTCATTTAGTTGCCATATATTGTAATGTTATGTTAAGTTTAACACAGTAATTTTTACAGAACAAATAATTGTTTGCACATATATATGCTGATGTATGTTTTCAAAAATATTCGAAAAATAATAAAAATTACCAATACCATAGTTTATTTTTTTAGTACAATATTTTATTATATAGAGATGCTCTTATTATATAGAGATGATTATCGTAAAAACAAGCCAATAGTGGTATTTTTAACAATGTTGTTTTAAAGGTAATCAAATTTTTGAAATGTTAAAGTGCAAGAACAACTTTCTGCTGACATACACACACATATTTATATCAATTTTGGACTCAAACGATTCAGAATATTTGAAACGTTGATAGTAAACTTAGAAAGTCGGATTTCCTGTCGAAAACAACTTTTTCTTCGGGGAGTTAAGAAACACAAATAGAGTGAAATTTTCAAAAAATTGATTTTTGGATTTTTCCATATTTCGATAGGTTATTAGGAACACTAAAATTTTAAATCGATATCTTAGAGTATATACTATACTATAGTATATAGTACAACGATCATTTTATCTTTAAACGCGTTTTTCTCGAAACAGCATTTTTCGAATTTGGTGGAGTGATTACTCGGAGACAAATGATCCGATCGCTATAAATTTTTTTTTCATCTCCACTATATAGTTCTTCATACGATGACCCTCCAGGTCTTTGATCTGATCAAAAATCTAATTTTGGCAGGCCAAAAACGACCAAAATTTTGGGAAAAATTTAACTTTTAACATGCCGCCATTTTGTCAATTTTTAGTTTTTTTTTGTTCGTCCGAGGGTCATCCATGGGTCATCCCATGAACAATATGTTCTAGTGAAAATTCGTTTATGTTTTATCAACGGAAAAGGTTTTTTTTAGGTTGTCACACTAGGTGTACCCCTTAATAAAGCTTAAAAATGTTGCATGGGGTTATGGGGTCCATAGACCTTATATTACATGTAGAATAATGTCGAAGATGGGGTCATACAATTTTTGAAATGTAAAAGTGGAGCATGGCCTAAAACATTTGGGAAACACTGATGGATTGCAGAATAAAACGCCTAGATTATAAAGAAAAAGATAATGTCGATGCAACAACAATGTTTGAATCTAAACTATTATGAGTATTTTTTAAATTACTGAACAGAGGTCTCGCTGTTTTTATCATTTAAATGACATTCATCAGCGTAAATAAAAACGTCAACAAATACATTAAGACTCGCTTTCTAAGTTCAAAGATCGAAACATTGTTTAGTCACAAATATTTATAAGAATTAAATATATATTTTAATACCTGATACCTCTGAGTAACTATATGTGATAAATAATTATTTGTAACATTTTCGAAAAATATTATAGCTAAATCTATATCAAGGTAAGATGTTTGCTTGGCTATGCGAAATTTGATAGTCTCTAAGATAAGGCATGTTTTTATTTTAAATTATATTTCATTTGATTATATTATTCAAGATCAACACTTCTGTCTTTCTAAGGAAGTGTAATCGTCTATTTCTTTATATGCATTGTAAATGAAAAAGCCATATTATTAAAAATAAATCTAAAAATTAAAGATTTGTTTGATCTGTCTCATGATAAAAGGTAAATCTTTAAATTTCTATTTACATTACTATTTAAATGACATTGAAAAAGATTAGTTTTTTGAAGACTTAAAAGAAAAACCTGATGTTCATTAATGATTGCTCCTTTTTTTTAAAGGGAAATGATTAATTTTTATCTAAACTCTTCAGTATAAAAGTTTTCTGCATGCGAGCATAACCTATATAATATAATCTCTTCTATTATAATTTATTACAGATGATGCGGCTAACAATAAAACCACAATACATAGATCTAAAGTTCATGTCTAGATTTAAAGCGACTGCTTCTACTGAATTTGCCGTATACCATGATAAAAGTTACCAGTATCTACATGAAAGTGAATTCCCTACTTCTTTATATCAACATTCACTGCCAAGACTTCCAGTGCCAGAATTAAATGAAACTATAGCCAAATATTTAAATGCAGTAAAACCAGTGCTAGATGATAATGCATATTCAACAACGGAGAAAATATCTAAAAAGTTTCTTGAAAATGAGGGCAAGCAATTGCAAGAGTTATTAAAAGCTTTCGATAATAACAACAAAGATACCAGTTATATTTCTGAAATGTGGTTTCACATGTACTTATCAGATCGCAAGAGATTGCCGTTGAATTATAATCCTTGCCTTGTTTTTAAGGATGAGCCTAAGCCAGTATCACAATTAATAAGAGCTACAAATCTAATTGTGAGTTCATTAAGATTCAGACGATCATTACTTGATAATGTTCTGTATCCTGAAGTTTTTTTTATTGATCCTAAAGTAAAAGACAAAACATTATATAAACAATTTATTAAGTTCTTACCCAATAGCGTAAAAACTTATGGATCTTATATTTTTAAAGCGTATCCGTTAGATATAAGCCAGTATAGTAGATTGTTTAATACAACAAGAATACCTCGTATTGGAAAGGATGAAATATTTACAAATATAAATTCAAAATATATTATTGTCTTAAGACATGGTGTTTTCTACAAAGTAAGAGTCTTGAAAGAAAATGGTAAGTTAACATAATAATATTATATATATATATATATATATATATATATATATATATCTTATTTATAGGTGATATTGTTCCACCAAACACAATTCACGCTTGCATTCAATATATTTTGAATAATACTAAAAAAGAAAACAATCCATTATCTGTGTTCACATCGAAAGGAAGAGATGAATGGGCTAAATTACGAGAAGTTTTATTACAAGAAGGCAACAAAGAAAAGCTCGAAATGGTTGATAGCGCCCTATTTACTGTAAGTCTAGATGAAGAAAATATTGAAGACTATGTGAGTTTAGTAAAAACATTTCTTTATGAAAATGCTCCTAACAGGAAAGTAAATTTTATTTATCAATTTTAGAGATTTTGTTAATAGTTTTTATCAAGTATTTTTGATGCAGGTGGTTTGATAAAAGTTTTTCCTTGATTGTTAATAAGGATTCAAAAGCTGCAGTTAATTTTGAGCACTCTTGGGGTGATGGTGTGGCTGTTTTACGATATTTCCAAGTAGGTTGATGAATTCTTGAATACTAGAATTATATTAATATTAACTTAACCAAGCATGTTAAGTGCTTTTTATAAAAAAATGTTTCTATTTATTTCTAGGAAATTTTCAGAGACAGTATTGAAAAGCCGCAAGTGACTGATGGAACAGATAGTCACAATGTAAATGTTTCAGAGCATTTAGAAAAAATAGGTAAAGATCGTAATATTTTCTCAAATTTCTTTTTTTTTTATTCATGAATGACTTTGCAGAATTTAATCTGAATGATTTTCTAAAGTCTGAAATACAAATTGCTGATAAGGAACACAAAGATATAAGTGATTCTGTTGATGTTAATGTTGTTGAATATCGTGCATTTGGCCGTAAACTATGCAAAAAGCATGGAATCAGCCCTGATTTTGTTATGCAGCTTGCATTTCAACTTGCTTATTATAAACAAACAAAACAGTTTGAATCAGTATATGAATCTTGCAGTACTGCTGCTTTTAAACACGGAAGAACAGAAACTATGCGTCCTCTGACTTCTAATACAAAGGTAATTATAAATACTTGCATTATTTATTATTTGTTTCACTTCATATTTTTTCCCATTCAATTTGTATTAAATTTATATTTTTTTAAATATTATTACAGGAGTTGTGCATAGCTTTAGCAAATAAAGAAAAAACTAACAAAACAGATTCAGATATATACACAATGATGAAGAATTGTTCAAATAACCACATGGAACTAACTAAAAATGCTGCCATGGGAAAAGGCTTTGATAGACATCTTTTTGCATTAAAAAATATGGGTATCGTAAATATCTTTATAAAGTATTCAATATTTGCATATTCTACTATAATTGTCTGTTACCTTTTCAGCGGAAAAGAACAATTTAACACTACCAGAGTTATTTACTGATGAAGCTTACAGTAGAGTTAATAACAGCATTTTGAGTACAAGTACTTTAAATTCAGAAGCCGTATTAGCTGGAGGTTTTGGCCCAGTGAATAAAAAGGGCTATGGAATTGGGTACGAATAAATATCATTCATATCATTGTACCATTTTAACAATTATTGTATTGTATATATATACCTTTTTTTATTCCAGTTATACAATAATGAGTGATTATCTAGGAGCTGTTATTTCAAATTATAAGCAGAATACAAATGGCAATGAATTTGCTGTGTGCCTTAAATCATCATTTGATGATATTCATGAAATCCTTAATAAAACTGTTTGAAATTTTTGAGTATAATAATCAGTTTCATAAAACGACTGATAATATGAAATAATTAAAATTAAGCTTTAAAGTTTTTATATTAATGATATAAAGAATAATATAATTTTTAGACAGTATCATAATTTTTTGTGCAAAAGTTTAAATTACAATGTTACTATTTTGGAATAATGGCAAGTGTTCATTTATACTTGTGCATGACAAAAATATCTTTCAATATATTTGGAAATACATGCATCAGTGCTTTAAAATATATATATCTAGATTACTTAATGTTTAGTGTTTATTCTTGATAAGTGGAATTTTATTTATTATATATTTTCACTGGGAAATTTGTCACGCATATTTTTATATATTGTTACAAAGAAATACAAATGTTTTATACAAAATTCTTACTAGTTTTTTATTTAAAAGTAATATATTGATGACAGAACAATATTTAGAAATTTTGTAATTGTATGTTTCGATAAAATGAATGTCAATGAATATTACAAGTTTTGGCTATGAATAACCCATAATATTTTTTTAATCGTGAAATATTAAGAGGTTTAAGCATTTGCAATTCATGCTTTTCATAAACTCTTGTACAAGATAGAATTAATTGAATTATTTAGCACAAACTCTTATTTTTAAAATTTGCAAAACAAATTACAAATACTTAATTCATCGTATAATTTTAATTAACTGTATAATTGACTTCTCATAGGGTTAGTTATAGTACACGCAAAAAAATCGAAAATGAAATTTTTTATATATCTTTACGTTTCAAAGGTTTCTGAACATTTTGGCTTACCTTAAAAAAATGGATGTATGTGTGTGTGTGTATGAGTGTATGTGTGTGTGTATGCGCGTGTGCGGATACAAATTTTGGTCAACGATTTCAGGAACACCGATCAACCGATTTCAATAATTCAAAAAACATTCGATTCGTATTGATAATGAGACGTGCTGATTAGTTTTTGGCAAAAGCAGGTCTAGCCGTTCAGAAGATACGGGGCAAAAAGAGCTAAAAACAGTACACAGTTTTTAAGAGAACGGAGCGTCTCATTTTAATAATTCAAAAAACATTTTACTTGTATTGACAAGGTGAAAAACTGATTGAATTTTTGGGAAGGCAGGTCCAGCGGTTATAGACTCTCAATAAAAATAAGTTAAAAAAATATCATTTGATGGTCAAAAAGTTTTTTGGACATATGTACATCAAATTATTAGATATTTTATAGAGATTTTAATAATGTGTACACATTTTGTGTATTTTTTTTTGGGGGGGGGTGTTCCGTACCAAGATTTTTAATTACGGTACGGGAAGTTCGGGAAGTATTTTTGCCTGATTAAATACTTCCCATGTGCATTAAAGTAAAACGGTCCAACGGTGAATGGATTATTTTTTTGAATCCTATTTAATTTTTATTATTCAAATGTAAATACGTGTTTATGATGCGCAGAACTCTGGGCGCACGGTTTATTTATATTCTTATTGGATTCTAACAAGCGGCTCGTTCCAGCAGTCGCCGACCGGCTGTCATATATATTGTATTTACGTAACATCTGTTTTTGTTATTTAATTTGAAATGGCTAATCCCAAACCAGAAATCAAATACACAAAAGTAAGTGTTCAAAATAATCTTATTAGAATTTATTCAGATTTTATATGTATTTATTACAATTTTTTTGACAAAATATAAATTTTCATTTGCTTCCTTGATCAATTTACTCTGTTTCCGCTTGTTATTTCCCTTTGTTATTGAATTTTGTTTTATCTATTTTATGTAAGTTTATATAATTTTGATAACAATAATATAATAGCTATGATGAATACATATTATGATATATTTATAATTCATTATTTAATTATTGTTTTTGCATATTTATTTATAATTCTTTTAAAAAGTCAACCAGAATTCCTGTATATGAAATAGAAGTATGTACTTGAAATATTCCAATTAGAATATACTTCTTAGCTTTACCAATTTCATATATTAATATTTTCTTTCATTTTTTCTTATTATTTATTATTTAATTTTTATTCAAATTTAATAATGCATTAATTTGTTTTATTTCTATTTTTTTTAAAACGTTACCTAGATATCATATATACCTACAGTATTCCAATATATAAATACTCAATGAAAGATTCCTATTAGATTTTGGCACATTTGATAATTCAATTTGTTATCTTCTAACTACTTCTGTATCCTTTAATTATTGATTTTGATTGCATTTTTTATTTTATTTAATGGGGCTACAGCTAGAACCATATATATTTATATAAATATATAAAGTCCTAGCTGTAGCCCCATCGTAAATTATAGTTTACAGTTTTCATTTAAATTTTTTGAAATCAATTGTACAAAATTTAGGTCCTTAAAATGATTTTATTAAAATATTTTTTATGTTTTATGTTTATATAAATTTTGAATAAAAAATTTAATTTATAAAAAACAAAATAATGACTGCAATTTTTTTATATTATTTATTATCTATACAAAAATATAATCATAATACAAAATTTGCCAAATTAGCCCTACACAGTTAGAGCTCACTTTTCATATTGTTTATTTTGTATTACAGCTCTTCATAAATAATGAATTTGTCGATTCTGTGAGCGGAAAAGTTTTTCCTACAATCAATCCTGCTACATGTGAAAAAATCATTGATGTTTCGGAAGCAGATAAGGTAATGGTTTCAATTAAATTCTAAAATACTCGATAAGAATCCGTGTTGATTAGATTTTTAAGACGATCGGCGTGGACGTTTCTATACTATTGTATAGAATATTGTTTCTATATGGTCGTTTCTTCGAAAGATATCAATTGGTAATACAATAACTTGATTTTCGAAAGAAACAGTGGAAATTTTTATCAAAATAGTTGATTATCGATTCTTTGCGATTAAGTCGTTTATTTACATGTATCGAGAAGTTCATGGAACGTGCCTTAAGGAGGCAAAATTCCACTTACACTTAAGGGGAAGGCTTGCTTTAGAGGCTTCCAAAATCGCTTTTTGAGGAATTTTTAAGGAAGGAAATAAATATTTAATTGAAACAAAACTTTCAGGTTTTATTGTTATATATTTCAATATTCTTCTCAAATTTTTTCATTAAAATATATGACATAATATGCAGGGTATAAGCATTTGCAGGTCACAATTTCCATACGGAACAAAAAAATCATAACAAATTTTCCAAGAGTATAGATACTAGTTGAACCTTAAAAATGCAGAAAAAAAATGAGAAAATCACCAATTTTTCGCTGTCTGAAAAAAATCATGTTTTTTATACAAAATTTCACTTCAGGTTGTTTGAATAGTGGGTTAATTATAACTTTTTTTAAGTTTTTTAAGTTCAACTAGAATAGAATTTAATCTTGAATATATTGTTATTTGTTCGTAATTATTATGTCTAAAATATTAATTGGATATGATTAAATTATTATCTGCAAGGTCACGATCGCTCAATATTATCGCGTGAGTATTATTATTATTCATATTGCCAAAAAATATAAACATGAACATATTAAATTTAATTATGTTGAATATTTTTGTTTGTGTAATTTTCGTAAACAACACGATTGGAATTTGAGTTTCAATACTTTCTTAGATTGTTTTTGATAAATTTATGTTCTGGATACTAACTAATAAAAGAAAACCCGTATACATAACGAATATTTCCTTTAAAAAGATGTTATATTTTATCAAAACCGATTTTATTTTGGCAAAACACTTTAGATCTTTAAACAATAAATTTTTACAGAATGAATGATTTTTGTTAAGGTGATAACAAAAGTAAATAATTCACTCTGTTTTTTCATTTTAGTGTCTTTTCGGTTAAGTTCTATTCTATGAATCACCTTCATCTGATTTAATTGTTTTGTACTAGTGACCGAGGTTTACGGAAATTCAGCTTATTTCTTTTTGATGTTTCTATCACGGTGAATTAGCCAGTTGGTTACTTAAATAATTGCATACCTTCTAATTCACTTACTTAAGTTATACATAATTGTATAAATTTATTATTATTTTCCACAGGCTGATGTAGATTTGGCAGTAGCAGCTGCCCGAAAAGCTTTCCATCAGAACTCGGAATGGCGTACAATGGACGCCTCGGCTCGGGGCAAGTTGATCTACAAATTAGCCAACCTGATCGAAAGAGATATAGAATATCTATCAAATTTAGAAAGTCTGGATAACGGAAAACCTTATGGAGACAGCGTATTTGATATGAATTGTGCGATAGACACTTTCAAGTATTATGCAGGATGGTGTGATAAAATTCATGGCAACACAATTCCTTCTGGTAAGCCTATTTTATTAATTGATACATTATACTCGAATAAGATTTTTTATAAAATTGAATACTTTTTAGACTTGCTATATTGCTCATTTATCATACTTTATTTTAAATAATTTTTGATTTTTTTAGATTTTGGATTAACAAGCTTTACATTTCGTCAGCCAGTAGGTGTAGTGGGTCAAATCATTCCTTGGAATTATCCAATCTTGATGATTTCATGGAAATGGGGTCCAGCTCTTGCAGCAGGTGATAAAACAACACATTTAAATAAATATGATGATATATATTCTGCATATTGCCTACCCTTTTCACAAATATATCATGGATTTGATCTCTATTAGCTGTACATAATAATATTTTCTATTATTTGAAAAGTGTTAAACTAATAGTTTGGGTTTACCTTTGATTATCTCATAATGTTGTATGACGATAATTTTTAGGTTGCACCATCGTATTAAAACCTGCAGAACAAACTCCTCTGACCGCTTTATATTTGGCCGCTCTAACCAAGGAAGCTGGTTTTCCTGCAGGCGTCATCAATATTTTGCCTGGATATGGTCCTACAGCAGGAGCAGCTATTGCAGAACATCCTGATATTAACAAAGTTGCTTTTACGGGTTCGACAGAGGTTTGTTTATTTTTATTGATATTTTGTCTGAAACTTTTATCAATTATTTCTAAGAAGAATTGGTTTAATTTGGTTTTAGGTCGGGCGCAAAGTGATGGCTGCTGCAGCTTCGTCTAATTTAAAACGTGTTTCTTTAGAATTAGGAGGAAAAAGCCCTTTAGTGATTTTTGATGATGCAGATGGTATGCTTTCAGTTTTTTAATGTATTTTTATTTATATATTTTTGTATTACGATTTTAATGAAAATAACGTTTTCTATTGAAGTTGATGAAGCAGTACAAATTGCTCATGGAGCGATTTTTGCTAATCACGGTCAAAACTGTTGTGCTGGTTCAAGAACTTTTGTTCAAGATGGAATTTACGATAAGTTTGTTAAAAAAGCCACCGAGTTGGCTGCTGCTAAGAAGCTTGGTGATCCTTTTGGAAAAGATGTTGAACAAGGGCCCCAAGTAAGGCATCTATTCAAAATTTAAATAGATACTAACGTTTAACGTTAGGAATTTTAACAAAATTAAAATTATTCCATTCTCCAAATAATACTGTTTATAAAATTTAGGTCGACCAGGAAATGTTCAACAAAGTTTTGGAACTTATTGAATCAGGAAAGAAGGAAGGTGCTACGCTTCAAACAGGTGGCGAACGATTTGGTGATAAAGGATATTTTGTAAAACCCACTGTTTTTTCTGATGTCTCGGATGATATGAGAATAGCTAAAGAAGAGGTAATTATTTATAATTTTCTTTCATGTTAATCATAAGTTAATTGTGAACATATCTTAAAATATCATTGCACAAACAAATTGCATACTTTGAAGTGATTGTTCTTAATGTATCTTTTTTTCTGCAGATTTTTGGACCTGTACAATCCATTCTGCGCTTCAAGTCTCTCGATGAGCTTATCGAACGCGCCAATAACACTCATTATGGTTTAGCCGCTGGTATTATTACTAAAGATATCAATAAAGCTTTGTTATTTGCTAAATCTGTTGATGCTGGATCAGTATGGTAATTAAAAGTCTTGGTTAAATATATCCATCAAAAACAGGAAACTAAAATAATTTTATTTCGGTTCTAGGATCAACTGCTACGACGCCGTTGTTCCACAAGCGCCATTCGGGGGTTTTAAACAATCTGGAACTGGGCGTGAATTGTAAGTAACCATTTTTTAAATTTAATTTGAATGCAGTTTTAATTAGTTCAGTTTGAAGTAGCATATAACAGTTTTTTTCATGTGATAAATTATGATTTTCTTTGTTTTAGGGGAGAAGATTCTTTGAAAGAATATTTAGAAGTAAAGACTGTAACCATCAAAGTACCTGCCACTATGTAAAATCATACATATCTTGGTTTTCTAAAATATTGAAATTTATATTTTATATAACATAATTATTTGTAGTATATTTTTAAAAGTACAATTATATGCATTTAAAAACATTTTAGAGAAAACAACACATGGTTTATTTCAAATTGCAAATTACCCCTATTCCAATTTTGCCTGTCCAAAATTTGTAGGCTTTTCGATACAACAGTCGACTATAGGCGACATCCACAAGACGACTGGTATGTACGGTTATCGTCCATTGGCTTCTAGTTCATGTTATTGTAATTTTTATTGATCAAATTTTTCCGATTTTTTTTTTTGGCACGGCAATTTATTTTAAGGATTGATCTTGATCTAGATAATTCGCTATGAAATAGAATGTTATTCGTTTTCTAATCAAACTTATTCAAGGACGCCTCATTAATATTTTTAGTGATGTATCATGTTTAAAATAAAAATTATCAAATTAATAAGCTTTTTCGTGAGAAATAAAATGAAATAAAACTAGTAGGGTATATGGCATTGTGCCTTAAGGCAATTGCTGGAACTTCTCGTACCGTAAAGAAATGTTCGAAGAATATTAAATGTTTTCAAATAGATTATTACAAATAAATGCTGTAACATTGTCTAATATTTATAAGAATTATATAAACTGAATTGCAAAGTTGAAACAATTTTATAAAGTATATAAGTGAGCTTTAAAACTTTAGTCAGAATCAAAAATAAAATCTGAATTATTTTCGATATACAAAAAAAATTGTTTTGAAAAAAAAATGAAACAAGCAGAAAGTTTTTTGGAATCATTTAAATCGGACGCTAGACCCAAAGGTAGGCCCAGCGGTTTTGGAGATACAGAGCTGAATGTTAAAAAATTGCAGTTTTTAAGAGAACTAAGCGTGCGATTTAAATGATTCAAAGAACTTTCTGCTTGTTTCAACAAAATAATTGCTTTTGGGAAAAAAATTTTGTTTCTATTTTTATTTCAAAAAATATTTTTGTAATTTTGGATTAAAAATTCGCCAATCTGGTACAAATGTTTACCCAAGTGCGTTTAGACTGTTTATGCACTTTTCCAATTTTGTGAAAACACTATTGAAAAATGTGAAAATGCCGCCAAGCTAAGCACAGTATAAGTGAAAATGTCGCTCAGAATTATTTGCAAATGCGTTTAGACTGTGACTATACGGGAGCACTTTTTCAATTTTGTGCAATTTCGGCAACTATTTTTTTGAAATTGAATTCGAGAAGAAATGACGATTGTTAATGTTCTGGAGATAAATTGATTTATGATTTACATTTGATTTGCTCAGATATAACAAGATAGCAAAAATAATGAAAGTTACAGTATCTGTAATAATATACTTGAAATCGTTTAAAATTTCTCGAATATACCATTAGGGTGCGGAAAGTTCCAGCAATTTGCCTTAAGGCACGATGCCATACACCACTAGTTTTATTTTACAATTATATATAAAAACGCACAAATTAATAAGACGCAAATACAAATAAAAACGTATTTAATACAAATATACTTCACAATCAAATCAAATATATGAATCAAACAGCAAGTATTAGCAGTAATAATTTCGACCATCTCGCCACCTCTATGGTTCCGAACCCGAAACTATTCAATTAGATAACAATTTTTGAATTTTAGTATCATCTGGTAACAATTCATAGTTTTGTCCCTTTCTGACCCCAATAAAAAGGGTTCGCAATAACAACTAAAATCATTCTGTATTTGGACCTCTCGATCAACACTACAGTCAGTGGTAAGTCTTTTAAAAAATATTTATGTATTATGTAATCATTTCGTGCATTCAGTTTCAAATATGTGTCATGGAACTTGTATTTTGGTTGATTCGATTTGACTTGACTTTCTGTTGAATTATAATTATAAGAATGTAAATAAATTGAAGTAAAAATTCGTTTCTTTAATATTAAACGATTTGCGTTACATTTTCTAATTCTCAATATATTTGTGCTGAAGTGTCGCCATAGTGTTTGTTGTTGTGAAAATATTTAATTTTAGCCTTTGAGTTAACATAAATAATTTAATGCAATCTTTAGATTATCAAATTTAAATATAATTAAATAATATTAAATTTTAATATAAATTTTATGTTTCAAATATTTACGATTGACTACATTTGTTTTGTTTCAGATTTCATACAGTGTTTTGCGCAGTGGCGGATTGCTTTAGGGATTTATTGTGCATGAATTTTTTTTTATTCAATCACATTGACAACTTTTAATTAATTTTGAGTTATTTGCGTCCACATTTTATTTTATTTTTTTTGTTCGTGTGAGGACTTATTCGTAATTTTAATATCGTTTAAAACGAGTTCCGCGTTTAAATGTGTTCCTGTCGCCTACCCCCCACGGCAGGTTCTAGTAATTTGCGTTTCGTTAATAATTTTTTTTTTTTATTCGGTGTATGGGTCCTTGCGATGTTTTTCCCAGAAGCAACGCAACCCCATACACTTTAATTTATAATTAGTATTATTTGTACAATGTTTAATTTTTTGGAATTATTTTATTAGTAGCATGGATGTAAATAATTCGTCTAAAAATCTAAAAACTTTGTTGAATAAATTACTTGTTTTTATTTTGACTGATTTTTCTGTTGCAATGCAATGAATATGTTTTAATTAAATAATTTAATTTTTTTGTGATTGCACAATAAGTCTCCTAAACGGAGAAATGTTGAAGACGTACTGTTGGAAGTTAAAAAAAAGGTAAGATGATACAAAACCCTAAATTAGGTAAAAAAATAACAACATTGACATTTATTTTAGTTTAAATGGGCCTCGACTAAAGATACCAAAGGGTTAAGTACTACAACGAATAGGTGAACATGTGTACCGATATGATGTACCAGAGCACTGAAATAAATACGAGTAGGCTACCACATAATATTTATAAGTCATTGTCTATTTCATTTCTTTCAAGTCACTTTTCATTTCAGGGTTGCATAATTAATTTCTCACCGCGACGGCAAGCACCAGGACTGCTAGGAGATTGTGGTGGATTAAAAAGGTTGAAGGTACCCTTTTTGGGGTGCAATGACTGCTACTTGGTACATCTTAGCATTGCCTTTACCAATATACAGGGTTTACCTTGGCGCCCCAATCTGACTGATAATAAAAACCGGTAATTATCAGTAGAGTGCGTAACTAACTACACGAATGAAACAGAATCTATACTTACTAACTTATTTAATGTTACCTAGTCGTGTTCGTCGTAGGTGCCAAGATATGACTGTATTTTTGTATTCATGTCTTAAGTCTAAATTCTGACATACTATTGTTTTGGTTAATTAAAAAGCTTGAAATTATAGATGTGTATGATACGGCGTGATGACAAAGGGGATCGCATACAATCGGAGAAGCCTTACTTTTTCTGGATTGTGTGTTCTTCGCCCATGGAACAACACACGCACCACTATACACTATTTGTGTACTTCCGACTCGATTGACTACCTCAGAGGACTGATACTTAAAAAGTGATTGCGTCTTTGTAACGACAGCATGCAATGTTTCCAAAGGGTTGCACAACCTTTAGTGCAAACTACATCCGCCGCCCGCCTATATGGTTCCTGTCGTATGTGGTCCAGAGTCGCGATAAAGACTACATACATCATTTCCAAGGAGTTTCTAAACTCCTAAACTAAATCCCCACCTGCCTATAAGGCTCCTATCGTATGAGGTCCGGAGTCGCGATCGTTTTTTAGTATCAGTCCTCTTAGGTGGTCAATCCAATACGGAGGACACAAGTTAGTGCATTAGTGATGGTTGTGATGTTGTGCCAGGGAAAAAGAACACGATCTAGAAAAATCCGATCGACTTTTCCGATTTTAAGCTTTCATCTGCGTAATTACGCCGTTCTATACATTTTTAATCATTTCTAGCTTTATCATTACCCCATCATTAGTACATTCGAATTTAGGCTTGATGCATCACTATACATAAGTGCGGTCAAGTTCTCGGATCTGTAAACATAACTCGGTAACAATCAATGAGTTGGTAAGTAGATTCTGTTTAAATTGTGTAGTTAGTTAAAATCTCCACTGGTAACTGCAGGTTTTGTTGAGTCGAATTAGGACGCTAAGGTAAACCCTTCATATTGGGGAGTGAGATGCTAAACATACCAAATAGCAATCTTTACACTCTAACAAAAGTACCCTTAACCCTTTCAGTTCACCTCAATATGGATTCCTACAGGTTTTCTCGTATTCATAAGTTAATATTAAGTAATTAGACCTTAGTTAGATATAGGTATAATTTTTTTTTTATTTTTACCGGGGCCCCGTTTGTATGTTTGCCCCTATTTTTAGGGGCACTTGTGTTTTTTTTATGTCATTTCAGAAGTCTTTCCAAGAAAATTGCTTACCAAGCATACATGTACTGCCAAAAAACCTCTACGGGATAGAAAGACATGTGCAAGTGAGTACCAAAAACTACTTTCACAACCCATAGGAGGAAATTGGTCAGACCAATTGATGTACCAAGGCACTAAAATTATTGACGTACTGCTAAGTAATATGTAAAAATATTTTTTCTTTATATTTTCTAAACCACTTTTTATTTCAGGATTACAGAATTGATTTCTTTTCGCACCACAAAGCACCAGGACATCTAAATAACTGCCATGAGGATACGCATATTTAAAGGTTTTTATCCTATTATTGTTAATTTGATCTTCTTATTAGTTATGACCATATATTCTTTTATTAATATAACCGGGGCCCCGTTTATTTGTTTGTCCCTATTTTTAGGGGCATTTGTGTTTTTCTTTTCATTTCAGATATCTTTCAAAGAAGACATTGTATTGTATGTCTATATGTTTCACCAAGATATACACGAACCACCAAGAGACCACTACCGAATTAAAGGATATGTGCAAGTGGGTACCAACAATTACTTTTGCAACCCATACGAATAAATGTAATAAAATTCTATGTTTACCTCTTTTTAGGTCTTACAGGAGATTTGGCAGAAAATATCAACTCAAAACCAACTAGCACCACTACTACCTGAACTGCCGCCTAGAACTGAATTGGATGATATGACATAATTGAAAGGAAAATTAACTGTGAGA